AATAAGTGGAATATTATCGAAGGATACAGTAGAACAAGAAGTCATAGGTTTTCGACTTGATAAAATATGAATATGATTTCTTGAGGATAATTATTTTTTAAGTAAATAGAAAAAAAATATTTTCTAAACCTCGGGTCTTTCGAATATAAGTAAATAAAATAATTAATTTCTCTAATTCGAACATGTTCAATACTGATAACCTAATATAATAGCAATCATATGGAATTTTCAGGTCATTTTTTCTGTACGGTTTGGCAAAGAAATGTCGTAAATTGTCATTTAATCGATATACACTTGATACTGTGTTTTTATATACTATATTTACTCAGTATAAATTCGATCAATATTATTATGTAACTGTATTTATTCGTCATCCTGAATACATAACTCGGATTATCCTTATTCATGACTGAAAAACTTAATACTAACTTTAAATAAGCTCCAAGAAAAAGCTGAGGAAGAACAATATGTCTCAGTTATCAGGAACCTGCAGACCTCGCGGAATTATAATATAGAAGAGCCATACATTATTCCAGAGCTTAAGATCATCTCTGAAATAAAGAGTTAAAAAAAATGGTTCGACGGTTCAATTTGTCCCATCAATTCAGAAGTCAATTATGAATATCAAATTAATTCAGATCATTTTATAATAATTTAGAGACATCGAATTTTCATATCTGTCAATTTTCGTTAACACTTTCACCGTATTTATACTATTACAAATATATAACACTAAATCTGGAAGATGTATTTTAATACTATTAAAGGTAACCTTTACAACTTTTATTTGTTTCTAATAATCATCGGATTTTATGAAACATTAAGGATATATAGCGTACTGAAATATTAAAAACATTTTTGACCACTTTAAAAATTATTAATGAAGAGAAGAATAGTTGGGGTGCTCAGTCAACAATGGGAAGGCAAAAAATAAATTATAATATTTATTTTTTACATATGCCGACGTTTCGACCTGAAGTTCAGGCCTTCATCAGGGCTAAGAAAATAACCAGATAACAAGGTATGAGAAACATAAGTAATGATGGTAAAAAAAATAATAAAAAATGAGAAAATAAAATAAAATAAAAAAATAATAAAAATTATTAGAAAAATAAAATAGATAGATATAAAGTAAAATGAAATTGTTAGAATAATGACTAAGAACTAAGAGATAAATAATAAAAACTGTTACATAGTGTGGAATGATGAAGTAGGCATAATCAAAAAGGGGTGACAAAAGTTTTACATTGGGAATCTTAGAATAAAATGTAAAAACATAAAAAAGAAATATAAAGTTATATAAGAAATGAAAATAAAATAAATAGTAAAATTAAAACATTCTTAACATTAAAACAATTCTTCTCTTAATTATCCACGACAGTCAACCAATTACCAATTATAAAAATTATTAAATATGAATTTTTATTATTTTTTTTTGGAGGGAGTTTAAATATTTATTTGCACTTGTCAATTAGTTTAGCAAACAGAAGTACGAGAAATAATGATATGTCAAGCATGGAGAAAGATACTCAGAGAATAATACTCAGCCGTACCTCTGCCCTGACTTGTTTCAATAACTTTGGTTGTCTAAGAACGGAGATCTCTCACCAGCGTCTTTTTATTCTCCTCATATTCAGAGGTATGCCAACTGTTTCCATGTATCTTATTATTATTTCCGTTTAAATTTGTACGAAATCGTTGGTCGTTATACAGTGTGTTCGTAATTGTATGGCACTATTTTAGGTATGTGTTCACTAACACAAAATAAACAAAAAAATTCATATTAACATATATTTGAAACTCATTAATTAAACAGATATCAAAGGTTAAAGATTTATTATTTATTTACTACAATAAGACAAACTTCAACGTTTTTAATGACAGGTTTTAATCACCTGATAAACAAATGAACGATAAGCAGTGACAGTAGTTGCTCATCTGTAGACAGTAGTCACCCATGATAATTATAAATTTAACTGTGTCACAGTTAACTCACTCAAACTAAAACACACAGAGCTAGACAAACAGATGAGCAACTACTGTCATTGTTCAAGTGATTAAAACCTGTTATTTTGTATTAAACACTTTAAACTTTGTACAATCAGTCTTAATAGCTCCAAAAATCTCTGAATTTTAAAATAAATATATTTATTTTTATAGTGGAAAGCTGTAATTCTGCTAGCATAATAGATAGTATAACGTGGATAATTGTTTATGATTCTCATACACATATTTTGAATTACTTTGAGTTTTTAGTCTCGCATGTGTAACTCCATACTGGGGCAGAATAAGTGATTAAAGGGCGGATTAATGTTTTATATAAAATCAGTTTATTTTTTGTATTCAATTGCGAATATCTATTAAAATATGGTGACATTTTGCTGATCATGTTTTCTGTTTTATTGCACTTGCTGTTAATATGTTGGGTAAAATTTAGGGACCTATCAAGTTCTAGGCCTAAATATTTTACGGAATTGGACCAAGGAATCTGTACTTCTTTTATGTGTATATTGTGGTTTATGCTTGGTCTTCTTTTTGTAAAAATAATTGCTTCAGTTTTTTTTATCATTTATTTTTATTTTCCATTTTTCAAAATACTTGCAGAGTTTTATGAATTGGGATTGTAACCTGTTAGTTATAGTATCGATTCTAAAAGAAGAGGTGTAGATAGCTGTATCATCTGCATATAAGGAGTATTCTATTGAAGGAATGGAAGGAAGGTCTGAGATGTATAGGCTGAATAGTGTAGGAGAAAGACAGGAGCCTTGAGGGAGACCTGCAGATAGGAAATGGATTGAGGAATGGATAGGAAATGGTCATTCTTACAATCAGTCTTAATATAGTAAATAAATAATAAATCTTTAACCTTTTATATCTGTTTGATAAATAAGTTTGAGATATGTGTTAATATGAACTTTTTTTTTATATTGTGATAGTGAATACATACCTAAAATAGTGCCGTGCAATTACGAAACACCTTGTATATTGGTCAACTGTAGAAAGATGAAGGTCAGTAAGTAGAGTTTTGTTAGTCACAATAATTTTGCTCGGAAGGTTTGAAGTTTTTGATGGTGGGTCTTTTTATAGTAATACCATATATCTGTGATGAGTATCTCCATATGGGCTTAAGTAAGTAAGTATATTGAAGGAAGTTAGTCGACTGTTCTCTACATATCATGGGTGATAAATATTCGGGACTAAGTCATTATAAAGTTTTTATTAGTGCCAAACATCTGGGTCGTCATCAGGGCTGAAAAATTTAAAATACAAACACAGATATAATATTATACGACCGATAATGGTTAATAATAAACTATAGTGATTGATGGTACATGATTCTTAACTAATATTACAATACAGAATATTACAAATGAAATATTTAAGAAGTTATACAAATTAAAAATAATGTATATAATTCATTTATAAAAATTGTAATATTTTCTCTTACTAACCGTGGTTCGAGCACTGAAGGTATTCAAGTACTGACACATTTGGTAGGTAATTGAAAGAGTCGGAGGACGATTTCCCATTTAACTGAGACAACTGGGAATCCTGTCTTTTTTCCAATCTGAAACTGTGAATTCATGGCCCACATGTTTGGGTTGAAACGTCGGCACTAATAAAAACTTTATAATGACTACTTCCTGATTATGTATCACCCATGGTAAGTATGTATAAGTATGTACGTATATGTATGTAAACCTATTAAAGCAGGAGTACCTCAGGTTAGTGTCCTTGGACCAATATTGTTTAATATATATATATATCTGACCTACCGGAACATAACGACACAATACTGGCTACTTTTGCAGACGATACCGCAACCCTAAGCTCAGATAAAAACCCTGTTCGAGCATCCACCACCCTTTAAAATCATCTGAACGATATTTCAGATTGGGTAACAAGGTGGAAAATTAAGATGAATGAAAAAAAAAAAGTGTGCATGTAGTATTCACTCTTAACCATAAACCTTCCCCTGAAATATATTTTAATAACATTCAAATCAAAACATTAGATGTAATTAGGTATTTAGGTTTTTACCTGGACAAAAGACTTACTTGGAGAACTCACATCAGACAAAAAAGAATAGAATTAAACAGACCTTACGGTATTTCATCCAGATTACTTGACATACGTTCAAAATTATCTTTAACTAATAAACTAACCCTTTATAAACTCTTACTTAAACCTATTTGGACTTACGGCATAGAACTGTGGGGCTGTGCTAAAACTTCCAACATTAAAAAAGTTCAGTCCTTTCAGTCAAAAGTGTTGCGAAGGATAATTGACGCACCGTTTTATGTCGCAAATGATACACTACATAAAGACTTAAACGTACCTATAATTTTAGATACTGCAAAAGAGAACTGCGATGACTTTCACCATAGACTGACGTACAACATGAATCCCTTGACAGAAATCCTTCATCGTACAAGAAACCCGTACAGCCCACTACAACGATTACGTAGGCGTTGGCCAAGAGACCTGCTGATCTGATTTATATCCCGGACGCGATGGGAAGTTGTAAAGCTGCCAAAAAATTTGCATATTGCAAATTTAATCTAAAGTTCTACATTTTTTGTTTGGTTAATAAATAAATAAATATGCAGGCCCCATGTCATCCTTCTATCGAATGTAAGTCCAAAATAAAGTACCCTGTCCTTTTGAGTTATTTAAAAATATTAATACCAACATCACTACATTACACAGTCAAATAAGGTAATAATTATTCCGCGTCCCTCTTTATAAGGTACACTTTCAAGTCTTATTATATTCAAAGTTACTAAGATTTTAAATATTATTAATTTTAGGGTTATAAATATTGAGTTCACATTTCACTCGAACATTGGTTTTAGGTATATTGTATATCTACTAAGTCCACTGTAATTTATCTTGTTACAAGATCCGCAACGTCTTTTCAAACCTTCCTGAGGAGAATGCATTCTACAAGACGAAGCTTGCCTCCCTTAAACACTCAGATAAAACCATCACGTCCGAAGTCAGGTTCTTTCCCACCTCCAACTTCCAACAGCACTGATTTCGGTTCTCTTTTCTTTGTTCCACTCTTCTTGTAGAGCTAGATGGAACCCCGCCAAGACTAGAAGTGAAAGGACATTAAGCTGGCCGATTTCTGTGCCAAATGTCGAGTCTCCAAATGGCCGGATACTTCAACAGGTAATAGCAAATATCATTATGACAAACGATTTTGTCAACGTTATTTTTGACATTAATGTTTATTATAAAAAAAAATCATGTATTTTATGTCTTTATATGTTTTTAGGTTAAATTATTAACCAAAGATATGTTTTGTAAATGTAAAATGGCCTCAGTGGTTAAACAGCTCCAACAATTGTTTTTTTTGGGGGGTTTTTTTATTCATTGATATTTACAACTGTATTATAAAAAAATTCAACTAGTAAATGTGCATACAGTAGCAATACAATCGCATGAAAACGCATGTTGAGAAACTACCCGTTGGTAGCATTCTAATATATATATATTTACATAAGTCGATCACGAGGCAATTACTTTACATACCCCAACAGGGATAAGTGGAGTATTGTTAAAGGAAACTGTAGGACAGGAGGTCGTTGGTTTACGACTGTTTAAATTTAATTTGATAATTATAAATGAATAAAACTCCACAAGTAAACAATATTTCATACATGCATACATACAAAGTAAATGTAACGGTAATAATATTATTTTAATTTTTATTATTGAAATTTACAACTGTATAATGATAAATGCAACTAATAAATATGAAGTAAGTAACTTGGCATGTACAGCATGAAGAGAAACTACTCATGGGTAGCACTCCAATTATATTTTGTTATCAGGAATTGAAGAGGAAGCAAGGTTGGAAACAAGAGGGTTCGGATGGTTCCGGAGTTTGTTATGGAAGAATAGGTATCTGGATTGGGCCAAATCAGAAACATATGGAACATTAAGGTCTTTATATATAATTTTATTTGTGACAAAGTAAGGAGCATTGAGGATTTTACGAAGGATTTTGGACTGTAAGGATTGGATACGAGAGGAATTCGATGCCAACAATTGTTAAATAAACAAATTATCAAAATTTCAGAAAAATATACGTTTAAAGAGAATTAACTATAGTTTAATATGATATGGAGGATAAAGGTAGGCTTTGCTCCTTATTCTAGGGTTTAGTAATTATTTAGTCTGTTATCAGACGTTGATCGATCCTGGGTTCGAAAGACCCTCCTGTAGCACACTCAACTTCTACGAATTGCTCGTCAACAAAATGGTGACAATACTTTCTTAAAAAGTAATGAACCCATGAGATGTGTTGCGGTAGTCCAGATTTTTATTTAATTTTATTAATTTTTTTTTCATAGCTCCTTTTTATTTACTTTTGTCTTGAATCCTTTGATTTTTGTTGTCTTCATAATAGTCCTTTTACTGCTTAAAAGCATTGTAAGGTGTATTTTTTGTGGTTTCTGAGTACTTTGTTCTTCATCTGTAACATAAAAAGTGATGGGGCTCACCTCAGGCTTGAGTTGACCTTATCCTCTAGAGCTTACAACTAAATTAATAAAACATCTATCTCATGTGAGTTGTTGCCAACGTTTTGGAATTTTGGCTGGTAATAAGTTGTTGAAAAGAGAGTTTGCCAGTTGTTGGGACTTATCGAAAAATGATTCGTTTTGCGAGAAATTCTTTTATTGTTGATAAATTTAGTGTTGATTGTATATCCAATGTCTTCTTTCTCTGCATCGTGGTTCCTCTTACAATTTTTTTAATTATTCCATTTTGAAAATATTGTAACCTTTTCCCAGTTGTTTATCTGACATGATCGAACAGAGGTGCACCATACAACAGAGCCGGCCGTATTATACTTGTATAGACTAGAAGCATTAGGCGTAAAGATAGCTTTGTTGTCAGAATTAAATTTTGGAGTCTGTATGTCTTGGATCTTACTGTTTTAATTTTATTGTCAAAATGTGTAGTAAATTTCAAATGTCTGTCGAAGTGAATACCGAGATATTTTAAGTCAGTCGATAATTTAATAATATTGTTGATAATTTTGAATTCATTTGGCATTTTATGTTTTCCGTTTTGGTATGAAAATATAATTCCTTTCGTCTTTTCAGGATTTACATCTATGTCAAGTATTTTTAGCTGTTCTGTAATTTTTTCACAAGCTATTTCCGCCTGCTGCATAGCTTTTTTGGCATTCATACTGCTACTTGAGACAGCTATGCCATCAGCAAATGCTGCCACAGAAGCATTTTGGTGTTTAGTTTAATTTTTTAATAGCCTATAGTTATATAATATAGAATTAGGTTCAGATTTTAGCGGGACTTAATACAATATGGTGAATCTTCAAAAAAAAAAAAACTTTGCTTGATAAAGCATCCAAACATGATTGATTACCAATAGTTTGCATTCAGAGAAGACAAATTGCTTTCTGAGACCCGCTTAACCCATTTCTGTTCGACTTCACTCCGGGGATAATATTCCAATCTTGTCTTTAGGCACTTAATCAACAGACGTAATTTGAACAATATTGTAATCGACATCAAACAACGCAATAATAACAAGTAAATTTATTTCATATAAATTTTATTTCATCGAAAACCGCTATCAATAAACCCGAGCTGGCCGATAATAATAATTTATATTGGTTTCATACATTCTATTTCTAAAATATATTAATTATAGAAAAAGTCTTAAACTAATAGAAGAAGTAAAAATCTAGTAGCACCTATACCGTAAATAAAAACAATACAAAAAAAAATAAAGAAATTTATTATTTTCTCTACAACGGTCGTTCTATTCCGTGAATATTTTTTCCCCACAAACTCCCATGTCTTCACATACTTCATATATTTATATTTATTCATTTATTTCAAAAAATCAAATAAATCCTAAGAATACCATTATTGATTTTCTCATATAACTGTTTTAAAAAATATAACATTAAAAATAATATATATATAATTTGTTGATGTATCTTTCAAATTTAGAACTAAATAAGTTTTTTAAAAATGTTTTTATTAAAATTAAGGCTGTTATTAATGAAATTAAGTCGACATAAAATTAAGTTGATTTTTTTTTTTATGAATCCAAAATTAATTTTATAATCACAAACAAAATTTTGGAATAGTTCACTTAAAAAAATAAATATCTGTAAAATTTCAATACGGATTGGCCCCTTCAATACTAAAACATACAATAACGCATTGTTGAACATAAAAGCTGGTTTGCCGTTATTACAAATGAAGGGGCTATAAAGATCTTCATAGTTTACTAAAAAATAAAATAAAATTTCCTAATTTAAAATTAAATATAATTTTGTGTGCTATTAAATATCTCTTGCGAATACTTTTTATTATACTACAATATAATAAAAAGGTAGAAATCTTAATTGAATAATTATTAGCCATACATATTTGTTTTAGTTCTTCTACCGCATTTTTAACATTTATATTTTATTTAATTATTTATTTCTATGTATATAAATATAAATTATTTATTTAATTATTTATTTTTATCTCTCCTTGCCTCTCGGTAACACAGATTTTTAGTAGAGGTAGCCCGATATTTCAATATAAATTATTATGAACAGATAGAAATGATCATATAATATTAATCCTTATTAATGCAATTCCGAAGGAAAAAACAATTGTTTTTTCCTTAAATGATTTATTTTGAAACATCACAGATTCAAAACATTTGCAGATTGCGTATATAACGTATTTAAAAAGGCAATGGTATAGAAGAAAAAAATCTATTTACAGGTAAACCTGAATAAAAGTTTTAATTCAGTCACCGGTTTATTTATTTTACGAAGAATAAATAGTTAGAGTAAATTTACGAAAAATAATTAGTACTATATCTAGAAAGTGTAATTAAGATCTGAAAATGTACGCTAATATAAATTATTGTTATTATTATAATTAAATTGTAATTATTTTATCTGCCTTAACATATTCGTTTTTTATATTAAATTATTTTCTGTATTGTATCAAAAGAAAAAAAAAATCATGTAAAAATGATATCCTTACATAATAGTTTTTAAATTTTTTTTTTTCATTAATAAGAACTGGTTGAGGTAATAAAATTATAAATACGACAATTCAACTAATGTAAAAAATATACCGAAACTACTAAGTGAAATATATTTGAAAATAAATTTTATTCTTAAAATTTTTTTATAATGAAGATTTAGATAATGTTATATTCTACTTCGGTTTTGAATTCTTATTTTTATTTATTTTTTTATTTTTCAGATATAAATCAAAACTTAAAACTTTACTTTAGGGCTTGAATAAATACTTTAAACATGTATTCATTTGAGTCAAGATAAATTTTTCTCGTAATCTCAAATGCCTTCTACGATTCTAGGAATTGATTAAACCCTTAAGAATTTTAATGAAACGTGACGTAAAAACCTAAAAGCCACGGTATGCTAGAAGGGTAGAAAGTAAAAAAAAAAAAAAAAAAATGCTATGTATTCAAAGAGACCTTTTGCCCCAAAAGTCCCTCTAATGATATAAGTCTAATGAAGAGTAAACGAAGAGATGTTTGAATTAGAGCTCTCCATCCGAGATAGATTTTCTTTTTTTTTATAAACTTTAAATATACTTTCTTTTTTCTTATTTCCATCAAAGCCGGATATTTTTATTTTCACATATGAATTAAAAGTCCCAGCACACTAAATCAACTTACTTAAAATAAAATCAAAAATATAAAAATTATCTGTGACCTGTGTCCAGAATGCATAATTTAATTTGTAGTACCATCTTTGTTTAATGCTGATCATGACACTCTTGACCACTTTGATGATATTTTGAGCATGACTTGATCGCTAGTAATTTATTTATTCTTGAGTATAGTTTCAGTTATTTGATAAACTAAAAAAATATTTACGATTTATAAAAGTAACCTTTGCAAGGGTCATTAACAAGGATGTCTTTAATCACTGGAGAAATACATTTATTAATTATCTCGTTTCGGTGTATATATAGTCAACATAATAATTTCAAACCATATCTGCATAAACACAATTTATAATAATAAAAATGCAGACAATATAGGCTCCTATTTTTATGGTTATTAACCCCTAAAATTAATAATTCGTTTTGTTTAAAAAAAATATGCAAATAAACAAAGCTGAATCACTACAACCCAACGGTAATGTCTGTCTAAGGTGATTTGTGTTATATCACGCTCAAATATCCGGTTTATCCTCTTAATCAATTATTTAATTAAGAGTACTTAATTTATAGAGTACCTAACCACCTCTAACCATCACTTATAAAGTACTTAATTTATAACTGGGTGTACTCCAGGAAGGTCTCCGGACACAAGGTTCGATCCGCAGCTGATGTAACAAAAAACATAATTACATGTCTCAGCCGGACTTCAACTCTAACTTCCCAGTAAATCTTTACAGTGTAAACATCCTCATACCTACTACCCTGGTTTTATTTCCCCTCATGATCCGAAATTATTGAATAAACAACATTTAAAAAAAAAAAACACATGTAACTTTTAGGTAAAATATATGATTTTTTTTTCCTTCCGGATATATTATTTATTTATTTGCGGACTCTTTTCTCATCTTCAGAGACATTTCTCTCATTTCTTAATGTTTTTCTTTTATCTCATATTCTTCTATTGCATGTTGGTTAACATTTGTCTTCTTTCTATATTTGATTTAATAATTTTATATATCACTTGGTCTATTTTCATCTTTCACATTAAGTGGATTTTTTTTTAAAGCTAAGTTAATCCCATTGCTCATAAATAAATTAATGGAAAATTAGAATTTTATCACAAAACTTATTTGTACGTTTCGAGAAAATTTTGTCCTCCTCCTCAGGGATCTAAATGTTACAACAAATAAATATTTCTAGGTTCATTCATGAATCTCATCATTATTAATTAATAATACATAATGCTTAAAAAACAGTTTCCCATAAATAAATGTAAAATTCTTCTATATAACATTGTTAAAAACAATATACACCCAAGAAAATGGATGACTCACAAAGTTACAACTCAATAGGTCAATGGTACTTAAGTAAGTGTATTAAAGTAGCAATTAGGGTTGTCGGTACGGGGGATAAATATATTAAAAATACTATTTACTATTGTATCATTTAACAATACCGCACTTATCCCTGTTGAACAAATCCGATACCTAGAACTTCACCTTGACAAACGACTCACTTGGAACCCCCATACCAGACTGAAACGACTAGAAACTGCCCGATGTTTTCGACTACTGCAGCACTTACTAGACAAACGTTCTAAACTGCCAATATTTACAAAAGACTCAAAATATATATTACTACAATAAGGCCTATTTGGACCTACGAAATCGAACTTTAGTGCTCTACTAAACCATCAAATTCCTCTCGTATCCAATCCCTACAATCCAAATTCCTTCGTAAAATCCTTACTTTGTCACAAAGAATATCATCCATAAAGACCTTAATGTACCATATTTTTACGATTTAGCTCAATAAAGATACCTATCCTTCCATAATAAACTTCTGAACCATCTGAACCCTCTTGTTTCCAACCTTGCTTCCTCTTCAATTCCTGCTAACTCTCCGAGGCGTCTGAAAAGAAAATGGCCTCGTGATTTCATAATGTGGAAATATAATTGGAGTGCTATCAATGGGTAGTTTCTCTTCATATTGTATATGTCGTGTTATTTGTTTCATATTTACTTGTTGTGTTTATCATTTAATACAGTTGTAAATTTCAATAATAATAAAAAAACTATTTACTATTGTTATTTAAATATACTTTGTTCCTAAAGTCCAATTAAATAACCAACATCGTGACGATGAAAATTTACTAAGTGACGTATACAATTATTAAATGGAATATAGAAAGATGACAAATGTTAAATAACATGCAATAGAAATATATGAAATAAAAGGAACACATTAAGAAGTGAAAGAAATGTCTCTGAAGATTTACAGAGTCCAAAACGTCGTACAGATAAATAAATAATATATATGGAAGAGAAAAAAATGTTCATACGTTTTACCTACAATAATATTGAAATCTTCCTTAAGTAAATTATTGAATATCAAATAATATCAGAAGAATATATATATAACGATTACCGTCAGTATAATATGGCAGATATAAAACTATATATAAAAAATATACAGGAAGGAGATGGTCTGGGGTTGCTGTCATAAATATGCTAAATAGTGGTAAAGCTATTTTATTAAAAGCCACATAGGCTTTCAATAAAATAGTTTTACCACTATTTAGCCTATTTATGACCGCAACCCCGGACCATCTACTTCCTTTATAATGCACCGGTCAACTATTAAATATTCAATAAAATGTATACTTATTAATAAAAAAATAAGTTGTTAATCATCGGAAACAGAAATGAAAATATATACATATCACAATATAGATAGGTACCTTCCACTTAGCACGAAGTTGAGCGGTGTCCCTCGCAGGGTCTGCATTTCCTGGAGCCGAAGTCCTCCAGAGCTTGTATGCCACTGCGGAGTATGTGTAAGTGAGTGTGAGGAGAGGTATGAAGAAGGTTATGATGAAGACGAAGAGGGTATAGTACTGGCTCTCTTCTTCCGTGTCCCAATGCTCCTGGCACTTGTAATAATATCTAGCCAGCAGGAAGGAAAGAAAAAAATAAAATAAAAAATAGTTTATTAAATAAATTATTAATCATATTTTAAATATATAACTACCTATAGCTAATGATATGTTGATATATATATATATATATATATATTTAGTTTTCTAAACTCCACGAGTTGATCGAACTTCCCATGAGATCGCAGAGGGAAAACGTGTGAAGTTCTTTGACAACTTTAAATCAATTCCCAGTCAACTTATGCAGTCATTGACTCTAGCAACTTCTGGCAACGAACAGTTTAAAAGTATACAAATACGCTTCCCTATGAAGCCCTATCAATTTATCTATATAAAATACTTACCAGAAAAACTTCTTTATAAAATTTCTGAAGATTACAGAATTTGAATTTAGGATAGAAAAAAGTATGCTTTATATATATATATATATATATATATATATATATATATATATATTATATTACAATGTTTTTTTTTATAATTCGACCTTTATATATTATAACTAAAGATGAATTATAGTCGAATTAATTAAATTTAGGTTCTAAGACCAAAATATTCTGTATGTTTTATGGTATGTTTTTTTCTATAAGGTTTAGGAACGCAGTGGTTGGTACCTCAAATTTTTTTTTTAAATTTTATATTTGTTTATTTAGAAATATTACATTAGGTCACATCAAGGACATTTATAATAGTGTTCAGAGAAAGCACACTCACACTCTATTTACAATAAAAAAAAAAATAAAAAAAATAATACAGATACTTAATAATAATAAATACAATAAAATAAAATAAAAATAAATACAATAAAATAAAATAAATGTATATAAACAAAAGAACTAACCTAATCATACACACTCGGGCTTGAGTGGAGGATCTGGCCATTGCCAAAACTCCAATAGATGCTTATTTACAGAAGGTCTCTGGGCCACTGCCGCTTCAACCTTCGAGGAGGATTGTAAGGATGGGTGGTGCTGGATAGAGATTGTGCAAGGGGATTTGGATGATAGGTAAGGTTCTGGTGAAATTTGGAGAATTTTTCTGGAATAAGGTCTAGGACAAATGGGATATTAAGGTCATGGTGTAGGATTTTGTTATGTACCTCAAATTAATAAAAATTTTGTGAAAATAAATAAAAGAACAATAGCTGATTCACTGCCAGAGGTACAAACCACTGCGTTCATAAACCTTACAGAAAAAAACATACCACAAAACATACAGAATATTTTAGTCTTGTGACCTAAATTTAATTAGGAAGTAAACGATAAGAATGTGCTCTCTGAACACTATTATAAATGTCTTTATTTGTGACAGATTGTAATATCTGTCAATAAATACGGTTTAAAAAATAAATAAATAATTTATACTGATTTGTGGTTTATTCATTTTAAAGTTGAGGTTTTTTTTTATTAGTTGGTTTACATTGTTTTTACTATAGCCATCAAGTTTGAAAAAAAAAACAGTAACAGAAATAATTATATTAAAATCCATCAACAAGCCAGCCTAAGTTTGTTTTTTTTATTGGTTTTCAATATAAATATTTTCAATATTATTTAATTTTTTTTAACATTATTTTTCAATTCACACCTGTTGGGAATAACAACAACCAGCTAGTGTGCTGTGGTGCAGAAGAGTATGAAATAATTCCACGCAGCGTTCCTTCCTAACTTGATTTGATATTTTTAGTTAGTGGAGGAGATCCCTCATCCAACTCCTTTTGAGCCTGTTACGGGTGCCATTGGGCATGTTGGTTATGGCCAAGCCTTGAATCAGTGAGTTGGTATGTCCGTGTAAATTATTTGTAGTATGTTCGTATGTGGTTGTTGGCACCTGTATGTCTTAATGTAATGCTATTAACATACCAGGGGCTTTAATGATAGTCCTGAAAAAATTTTGGCTGTCTCGTATATCTGTGAAGCATAGGTTCAAATGGGCTTAAGTAAGTAATTTATTTACTTATTCATTTAATTTATTTATTTACTTGTGAAATTTATATCTCTATTCACGAAGTGGTTTATTTCATAACTAAATAAGCATGTCACTTATCAAACTAATACAATTCTTTTGATGATAAAATAAATCTATACGTTTGACTTATGTTTTCATCAACAACAAACGAATTCGGTATAATTATATCGATTGGTTCGCTCCAGTTGGGAACACAAAAAGTATCGCGCTTCGTTGCCCGACTTAACAAGTCAGTCTTTGACCACAGTCCCTCGATGTAATTAGCAAATCAATTTTCAATAGCCATTTTAACCTGCCCAATTGTCCCTCTATCATCGATTATACCGACCATTTTAAATATTCTCATGGACTTTAAAACATTACCTTCATCAAAATGGGCATGCATCTAAACTCAGCGATCATTTCTGGATCCTTCTATAAACTGGCCAAAATACAACCAACGATGATCTTAACGCTAATTTTAGAAGCTTGTCCAATGTTACCATTTATAGGAAAAATATTAAATTTTTTGTATCATTATTTTAAATAATGAACCATTGAGATCGACCGAAAAATTCAAAAACTTAAACCCCTCTTAAAATTTGAGGTTTTATGTTTCAGGATAATTGAAGTAATTCTACGAACTTAAATATTTCTGTTTTACTAAATCGGTAAATTATATTCTAAATAAAATAATACAAAGAGATAAGTATCGTCTTTATGCTCTAACGTCAGATTCTTGTCCCAGTATTCTTATTATTTTTTTTTTTTAAGACAGATGATTCTCCCTTTATCCTTGAAGAGATCAGAAACACATCTCGAAATCTATCTAACTCTCTGATACGAATACAGTGGTTACAACTTGTTGTATGAATAAATAAACGCCTACATACGCCATACTGCATTATTCAAGAGTTTTCATGAGAAAACATCCGCTTCGATCTATAAAATGGAAAACATTTTATAACTAGCTGTCGGCTACAGTTAACTTCGGCAATTTTTAGCTTAATCAAGGAATACAGCAATATATATATATATATATATATATATATATATATATATATATATATATATATATATATATATATATAAGTTAAGCGTCGGCGGACTCTAACAATAAAAAAAAAGAAAGGAAAGGGCTTGAAATGCAACACTCACGGTTTCAGAAAAGATACTGATTTATTCCTTTAGTAATCCTCCTTATATACATTTCATATGTTTATTTACATTCAGGACGGTATTAAGGCTGATATCGCCGGTCTCCGGTCTTTATCTCCCCCCCACCAGTTTACGAATAGGATTTTTCGGAAACTTAGATATTCCTAGATCGGAGCTAACGATTATCAGTCTTAACACCTTACAATTGTTTTTACAAGTATAAAGTTGAAAGAAAGTAAAACTCACTCGAGACATACAATAATACAAAGAAATAAAAAAAAACAGAACTAAACACAACACTTGCTTCCAAAAACAGAACTCTTAAAATCCTAAAAAAAACAGAGAAGAAAAAAAAAATAATACACTTTCCTCTACTGTATTGCTATGATTCTATTTACACATAAAAAAAAAATACACCATATTTTTGCTTAGACAACCAAAAAAAAACATATTTGTTATAACGTGGTGAGGGTACTACGAATCCGTTAGTTTATGTTCCGGTTCTATCATTGGGAGCTTCAATTGTTCAATGTGAACCGTTCTCCTCTTTCTAGGTTCATTAACGCTTTCGATCGTTAGTAGATTATGCTCCCTAATAGCAATCACTCTGAATGGACCCTCGTATCGTAACAATTGTTTCCCTCTGTTGGTCCCTACTCTACGGTACACTATTGTCCCGATCTTTAGATCACCCATTTGGTCACGTACGCGAACATTCTGCCTCTCTACCCGCTTCTCCTTTTCCCGCTTAATTTTCGCCGTTACTCTTCCCCACGTCTTTTCCATCTCCACCCTATTGCTCTGGATTTGCTCGACTAATGGTTCATTAACCGTTGTTTCCCCGCAATCTCGCCTTGGCCTGCGCATCCCGAATAGTACTTCCACGGGCGAAAATCCCGTGACGGAGTGAATCGAGTGGTTGTAGGCTGTTACCGCTTTCTTCATTGCAACATCCGGCTCCAACCCTTTTTCCCCCTGATACACCCGGATGTGATCACTCAGCGTGCTGTGCAACCGCTCAATGCCGCCTCTACCCTTAGGATGTCCCGGGGTGTTATAATGCCAACGAATCCCTAGTCGTTTCACCTCCTCCCTAATCGCGGCATTGTCAAACTCCCTACCACCGTCCGATGTGATCCTCTCGGGGACCCCGTAGAACTGCACCCAGGTTTGTAGGGCTTCCGCAACTGCGTTGGCAGACTTGTCCATGACCTGGTGTGCCATAGCTACCTTGCTAAAGACGTCGATGACCGTGACCCACTTGAACCCTCTCCAGGTAAATGTATCAATCTGGAGGTCCTGTAGTGGCATATTCCCCGTCGGTGTCTCTTCCTGAATCCCTCTGGGGGGGTGTCGATCATATTTCGTGCGCATACACACCTCGCATTTCCCTATGACCTCTTGGATGGATTTTTTCATGCCCCACCAGAAATACTTTCGACGTAATGCCTGCAGTGTCTCGTTCACGCCTCGGTGGTTGGTTTTCCCCTGGTGATAAGCTAATGTGACTGCCTGTTGCTGTTCCTCATCCTGTATAGTTTCCACTGCGTACTTACAACGGATGAGTGTTCTGTCCACACCAATTCGCTCGGATCTCCACATCCGCTTTATTTTATCCCATACCGTGTTATTCCCCACATAAAGATGGTGCGTCTTTCCAGGTTCCGTGGCGTCCTTCAGTGCCGTACAAATTTGCTCTTCACTCACCCCGGGTTGCGACCAGATGACGCGAATCTTGCTTTTCCCATATCTTCGATAATCTATTTTCATCATCCCTGCTACTCTCGTTTTCCAGATTACCTGACGATGCTTGTCATTGATGATGTCGTCTATCTCCTCCATTTCCACTGCTCTTTCCTCCGCTGAGCTCTCCTCTTCCGGGGACTCTCCCCTGTCATCTATACCGAC